AAGAGCAGTCTCTGTCAGAGCTCTCTCAGCCCCACCGACCTCACAGGGTGTCTGTTGTAGGGAGGGGAAGGGAAAGGAGTCTGTAAGCCGCTCTGAGACACCTTTGGGTAGTGAAGGGTGGAGTATAAATCCAGTCTCTTCTTCTTCTTCTTCTTCTTCTTCTTCTTCTTCTTCTTCTTCTTCTTCTTCTTCTTCTTCTTCTTCTTCTTCTTCTTCTTCTTCTTCTTCTTCTTCTTCTTCTTCTCTTCCTGCTTTCTGGGAGGGGGGCAGCCCGGCACCTCCCCCTCCGGCTTTCCCTCTGGAGTGCCTTCCCCAAAAGCGCTTCTCTCCTGCCTCGTTAGGGTGGCGGCACAGCCCATTTGGCGGCGGCAGCTGCGACTTGCTCTCCAGAAGGGCTCATTTAGCAGCAGCAGCAAAGAACACAAGTTTTGCTCCACACGGGGGATTTGGAACGAGGAGGCATCTGCTTCCCTGCACGAGGCCAGAGGTGGAGCAGCCCCTGGGAAAGTCAGGGACTGCAGCCTGGGTGGGTGGGCAGGCGCTATCCCTGTGTCAGGCGGCCTTCCCCGGACTCCAGCTCTCCCAGGGTGGGCACTGAAGGTCTGGCGGGACGGGGACGATGCTTCTCCACGGATCAGGAATCCTGCAGCTGAGGGTGAGAAGCGTGTGGGCAGGCAGCTCTTCCCCCGGGCCTCGCTTCGAGGTGGGCTTGTCCCTCCGCCTCTCTGCCGGCTCTTCCCTCTGAAGGGAGCAGGGTGGAGGGCAGTGTTCCCTCTAGGCTGAGTGAGTGTGAGCCAGCTCACCGTTTTTTAGCCTCCAGCCCACACATTTCTGTCTTAGCTCAGGAAGGATGGGGCTCCAGAGCAGACTCATTTCTGCAGCAGCCCAATCGCTCGCTCACAGCTTTAACGCCGGTAGCTCACAAAGGAGAATTTCTGCTCACAAGACTCCACAGCCTCCCGTCGGGTTGGAAGAGTCCCGTTTTACCGAAAGGCTGAGAACGCGCGCTCCCTTTCGTGCTGCCGCTGTCTGTGGCGTCCGTGGAGGATCGGGGCCTTTTGGGTTCGAAAAACTGAGGCCTAATTCTGCACAGAACGGAACCTCCTCTTAAGCTCAGAGGTGGCCCATTAAGGAGCCGGCACTTTTGTGGCTCTCCGCCAGCCAGCCAGCCAGCCAGCTGCTGCTAAAACTGTCCGAGACTGATGGATGCTCCTGGCCTGGCCGGTGATCTCAGCCCCGGGGTTGCCCCTGGCATTTGTCTTTGAGCAAGAGGACTCCTCCTCCTCCTCCTCCTCGTCAGGATTTGACGATGCAGGGGGTGCGGAGCTGCTGAGCTAACTGTGGCAGGATTGCTCCCAGGGGTTTGATCCTCACCGGTGCCTGAGCAGATGGGCAGTCGCCCCCTTCTCTCCATTTGCCTGGGAAGGGAAGGTTCCAGAAGAGTGGCTGGAGCCCCGGGCAGAGCTGGGCTCCTACTCGGGCTCGCTTTGGAGCTGGCTGAGCCGACTGTGCCGATGGCCCGGGCAAGCGTGGGTCCCCTGGCAGGAGCCCACGGCTCACGGGAGCAGAGGAGACTTTTGGCCTGGCGGGACCTGGGTGTGATGGGTGAGGGCTGGAGCCTTCCAGGACCCACACAGCATCAATCCTGTATTTCCACTCCCAGCAATTAAAGTTGTGAGCAAGTCATTTGGCTACTGCATAAATTAGTTTCCTCTGTGGAGCCCCATCCTTCCTGAGCAGAGACAAAAACATGCAAGTCGGAGGCTAAAAAACTGTGAGCTAGCTCACACTAACTCAGCTTAGAGGGAACACTGGTACCCGCACAGCATCAATCCTGTATTTCCACTCACAGCAAGTAAAGTTGTGAGAGAGCGATTTGGCTGCTGCATAAATTAGTTTGCTCTGGGGCCCTCCTTCCTGAGCGGAGACAAAAACGTGTGAGCCGGAGGCTAAAAAACTGTGAGTGAGCTTACACTAAACTCAGCTTAGAGAGAATACTGTCCAGGACTGTCTACCAGAAACTGGCTGAGCTTGGAGATCCAGAACAATAGCTCACCAGGACTCTGGAGGTGACCATTGAGGAAGTCATGTTATGTAAATAGCCTCTCCTTGGGAGCGGGGTGTGTTTGGGTGTGGCATTTGCATGCCATTTAAACAGGGCTGTTGTGCCCTGGGGTTTCAGTCTTGTTCCTGAAATCACTTAATAAAGTAGAGCTGTTTCACCGCAATGCGTCTTGGGCCCACTGTTTGACACTGACGCTCCTTCCGACCATTCAAAAGAAGCTTGTGGTCGTTTGGACCTTAACGGGTAGCGGTAAAGAAGGTCTCTGGAGTGGGGGCTCTCTGCCCTGAGCGGGCTGCAGTTCAACAGGAGGTCCTCTGAGCCGCAGGGGGGGCTGCCCTTGGCGTACTTCTTTGTGCCCTGCCCTTTTCTGGGCAGAGCAAAAGGCAACACTGCTGGCAGCAGCCAGGCAGGCGGGTGTCTCCCCCCCCC